GTAGAGAAGCTGCAGAGAGGTCTGCTAAACTAGGACTCTGCTTCCTGGTCTGCACCCTGGGGGGTCAGGGCACTGAGCATTGAGTTGAAATATACCTGCTGATCCCGGGACCGAGTGAACTGAAAGCGTCCTTGTCTTCCGACTTGTATCCTGACCATTGCACCATCGTTATTGGCTTCTAAAACCTAAAAGAACTAGCCTTAACCTTTACTCCCTAACAACCACTGGGCTCCTCTTGACCTGCCTTATCTCCCTGCTCTGGTGCCCTGTCTGCCCAGGGGCTTCTCTGATCTACCGCTGTGGTTCCTTAGCTCCAGAGGGGGGCACTGCTGACCCCCCTCATCCCGGATATGGCGCTCTCTCTCCCAGTGTTCCCAGTGTTCTCACACTGATTCCATGCTGCTTCTTTCTGAGCTCAGAAAACTGTCTCACCTTCCCTCTGTTGGTTGATTTGTCCCCCTGGTTTGGGCAATCTGACCAAAACAAACATGGACCAACCGAAGGAGAAAGATGCGTTTCTCCTCAGAGAAAACTTAATCACCAACATAACGACCAGCTCCTAATATTGGTGGTCTTCATAATGACCGGCTGGTCGACACTTGTTGCTGATCACTTTGTCTGATTACCAAGCACTGCTGATGTGCAGAAATCCCATTACAACTTCCCTGTAGAGGATCGGATGTAGCTGTTTTAGCATCGCTCCCACAGTAAGCATTAACAAGCTCCGCAGACCGAATCTAGCCAACCCTTTCCAAGGCTGTCTTTCTATTGGCTGTAAGGGTTTCTGGCAATGATCTAACTCCAGTCTGAAAGAGAGTAAAACAATCCACAAGCAGAGAAACGAGGTTTGTGAGCATATCTCTGACCCAAACACAGGGAGAGAAGCATCAGATCTGAGAGGGGAACCAAAGATCTGATGGAGAAGAGATCTGAGAAAAAGCAGCAGTTTTTAGTGCAAGTGGAGGAAATCCTGCTCACAGACTGAAAATCCTCCATATCTCTGGAGGTACTGAGTCCTGAGCAGAAGGAAAAAGCCAAAGTCGTATTTCCTGTCATGTTTTGTTCTCCATTGTTCTATCAGGTCTACCTATTATTTAGAGACTGAAGATCTCCCTCTGATTGGCTCTCTCTAACAAATCCTCTACTCTGATTGGTTACCCAGCATTCTCCTTGTGTTCCAGGGATGATGATCCGCCCCAAAGGGGACCAGCTGGAGATCAGGTACTCTGTATCGGACACTGAGAGCTGGGAGGACTTTGTCCAGAATCTCAACACCTTCCTGTCCTGTAAGAAGCTCCTCAGACCATCAGCTTACTGGGAGAATTTCCAACCAGTCTGCTGAGTCCAGTTACTCTGAGTCACTGTCTACCTGACTACTTCTAACTCCAGCTTCTGTCTCCTCTTCATCTTCTCCACCTGGTTCTCCCTGTCCCGTCTCCACCCTCT